GATCTTTTTGCCAAAAAAAAATGAGATTACAGGATCAGTAGCTTGGTAATGAGATCGTGCGTTTGACATTTGACACGCCTTATTTTATTTTTTTTCTTTTCCTGCAACGGCACTTCCACGGAGAAATAACTGTTTCACGAATAAGGAAGACATAAACCAATCGAATTTCGATCTCAAACTCCAGAAGAATCGAAGATCCTCGCATTTTGTATTTGCAAATTCAGATATATGGGGATCCTCCACCTTATCATTTTGGGCAGTTTGAAAATTCAGATATCGCTTTGTCTTTGAACCGAACCTACAAATTGTGCGAATTTTCTTGCTTTTGCGACGTGGTCGACCGAAGCTCTGGTTGGAACCGACGTCGGTCTTCTCCATCATGATGACAAACAGATATCTGATTAGGTTATAAGGCATGCTTCCATCCTAGCCACACGATGATTGAAAACAAATCCGATGGCTGATCATCGTGTGAAAGCTAAGTATAGTGATTTACGTAGAATTATTAGTAGGTATATGATACTTGTCAATTGTCAATGCATGCACATTACAGTAATAATAATATTGCATATATGATTGATAGCCGTTCATTAATACAAAAATAATCGAATTCAAATGCTTTGACATGTTCCTATTTTGTAGTTACTCGATTACTTCGTTGTGTATGCTCCCTGTCGCGGCTACACAAGGTCAAGCCATGTTAAAGATTTCTTTGACATTATATAGTTAGCAGTGGAAGAAAAATTCAAACATAAAATCTCAAGTGCAGTAAGTGGCCTTCTACCACAATGAAGAGGAGTGTTGCTCTTGCACTATGGTGTGGTTTGAACCCCGTCGGCTTCCTAATCTAACATCTAATTTAACAAATTTATTGTTTGACAAAAAAAAAAAAAAAACATCTTGAGGGTAAAAATAAGTGTACTTAATTATAATTAATGTTTTATAACCTTGGACTGTATGGTAGAGCCTAGTACAATTCAATTTGGATAGTGCTATTCACAATTTTACTTCTCATTCACTCCCTTTTGACTTTTAGATGTCGGAACGAATAAATAGAAAAAGATCAATGACAAATAAATTAACAAAAGTGGGTAAGAGGTGAAAATAAATATGTGGATGATACTTTTCTTCAATTTAAGATACTGAAAGAGATAGATAAGGTTGCCAATTGTATGTTATTTTATATATATATATATATATATATATATATATTTATTTATTTATTTATTTATTATGGATGCTTTTTAGGGGATGTTGTTTGCATATGGTAATGGTTTAGGAATTAGGAAAGATTAAACAAAATCAAGTTGAAGATTAAACAAAATCAAGTTGGCTTGTTTCTAAAGATTGGACTTGTAAAGTGGATAACAATCTCACCAAAACTAGATTTACATGTTTATCTTTTGACTAACCCATTGCCCAAAATACAAATATCTACTTTTTGTTCCATAGATTTAATGGTAGTTTTTTTTTTTTTTTTTGGTAAAAGTCTGATTGTAGCAAGCTACAGTCAAAATTCCCTCAACTTTTATTAAAACAACAAACCCAAATTTACAAGCAAAGTAAGGGTCCAACTTAAAACTATACACAACTAAAAAAGGGCCAAAACCAACAGAAAAATAGAAAGAGGGCCTAACAACAATGAAGCCTAAAAAACACACACCGTGAAGTTTCTACTGAAATCCCTCCACCGACAGAGGTCAAGGTCAGCCAACTGAAAACGTCAACCACCACCGAGTATCGCCGCCTCAGACTCCACCGCCAACCCCAAACAGCAACCAAATCATAGCCATTAACAAGATAGTCGGCACCAAAGAGGGATTAGCCAACTACCAGTAAGAAGCTCGGGGAAACTCACGAGCAACACTACTGAAAACGACAGACATCAAGGAGAACGTGGTGGTGTGGGAAACACCCGAGCCAGGAAAAACATCCCAGCTGATAGCAGATTTTACCACACATGCAAACGGGTTAAAAACTCCTATATTACTTGCAAGAATGACAAGATGGTTGTAGTATAAACGGTTCTCGCAAGGTCGTTCTCCACAGGGATTATTAAATAATTCAAAACAAACCTAATTCCAATTAATTATTGTAAAGCAGAAAGTTGAGATGATTGGTTTTATAACCTACTTAAATTAAAACGAATTTAATTAATAAAAATAAACTAATTTGCAATATTAAAGATGAAGGGAAAAGAAAACTGTTTTGGATAAATCAAATTAAGAAAACACTAGGGTTTCACCATCACCTAGCAATCCTATGTATTTTTATCAATTACTTATGATCTACACATGCCACTTTGAAGGTTAGGTTTTCCTAATTTATATTCTACTTGGAACCTCCAACATAGAACGTATATCTAACATGCAACCCGTCCGGACGTTCGGATCAAATCTGAACACGAGAGACTCATTATGCTTTATGAAAACCCTTTGAAAAACCATGCAACCCTTAAGATGTGGTTTTCATCTTAAGTGAAATTACAATTATTAATCACAAGAAGCCAGCATCAATTTCAGGGAACCTTCCGACCAAAATTGCATCAAATTACTTTTCTAAAGATCCTAATGGTGATCAGGCATTAAGATAATTAGATAGTTTTAATCACGGTGATCAATAATTCAAAGTATGCATGCAATCAATCATAAGCAATTAAATAAAAATCACATATTCATGCTAAGGCTTACGGCTTCACCCTAGCAATGGAATTAGTTACGCATATTCATAATTGAAATCATAGAAAATATTATTCAGAATAAAAGGAATGAAAACACCTTAAAGTAGAAATTCTCCAAGAACCCTAGCCAAGTTCTCTGTATCCCCAAAATTGCATAAAAGAAAAAGCCTCCCAACTTGGAACGGCCAAGCCCTTTTTTATTTTCCCTACAGCTGACACACAAACCCTAACCCTCAAGTCTTTTATTCCCACTAAGAAACTAAATAATAATAAAATAAAATATAAAATAAATTCCTAATTAACCTCGGAAAAACTGCACAGAAACTGTTCAGCCACGTTTTAACCTCAAATCTCCTCCAAATCTGGCCCAAGATAGCTTGTTTTAAATATAAGAACATTCTGAACACATCTCCAGAAGGCCACAAACCCATCCGAGGTCATCTTGGGCTCCAAAAACGCAATTTAAGCCCAACACGTCACTATTCCAGCACTGCGCATGGCTCCTTTATTTTATTGTCAGAAAATCATCGCTTGGTAGAAAAAACTGATATTTTGACAGGATGAAGCTAAGTGACTCACGAACGTCCTCCAATTGGAATTACTCCAAAATTCGTCCATTTGACCATGTTTTGCTCCAGAGGAAGTCGAAAATCCTATATTGGAAATATAATTCAAAGTATCAAAATTCTTCCAAATTATTAACCAAAATATACTAAGAATAGGGTAAAATATATAATATAAAATATACTCATCAAAATACCCCAAAACTTAGCTTTTTGCTTGTCCTCAAGCAAAACAAAACTAGAAAACAACAATAAACACTAACAAACTAGAGCTTAACTAAAACTAACTGACAACAATTTTCACCTTCAAAGTTGCAATCCATAGAACATGTTAAAAATCAGAACATCTTTTCAAAAGTTCCAACCAATCCCACCACAGAGTCTAAGCCATTTAGAATCAATTAGAAAAGAATTCACGAACTTCCTTTGGTGTAAAGTGAATCAACATAGCTAAGGAGACTCGACTAAAACCCTTACCTCTTGTCCTTATTTATTTCACACATACAAACTTTAAATATAACTATTTTTCTTTTTCTTCTTGATTTTTTTTTTCTTTCATATATATATTTTTTTTTTTCAGTAACAGTAGTGGTCGTGCAATGTCGGTTCACTTAAGCTTTCGATCTAACCCATGTAGCGAGCTTTAGGTCAATGACTCCCAAACCACTAGGGCTTTAGGGCACTAGGTGTAGAACACCCCTAAGGACTTATTAACCCGAGTTGAAAAGGCTACGAAACCAACTAACCACCCTGCCCCATGCCAAAACTCTACTGTTTGACGCGAGAATCACTGCTGATTAGGCAGGACTGGCCCAGTTACTAGGCAAAGTCTCGGGTGAGACAATTATTACTTTATAACACAAACTAACTTTACTTTATGCAGAACAAAAATTACAAATGAAACTTAGACTAAAAGTAAGTGTTTCAATCTCACTCCCCACAACCCATGTTGATGTGAATGTGCAAGTTGTCAAAGTATAATTCATGAATTAGTGTCTAAGCAACGATAAGTAGAAAAGACTCTAATGTGGGATTAATCTTCACCATGTCCATTTGTTATAACGTTTAAAATAATCTATGGATATTAACTTACAAAGAATGAAAATTTTAACTTGACACAAAAATTAAAAACCTAAAATGTTATTTCCCACCCCCAAACTTAGTTCACACTTTGTCCTCAAGGTGTGAAAAATAAATAGAAGAGACAAGAACAGAAACAAAACTACTAAATCCTAGAAAATGTAAAACAAATATCAAAGAAAAAGAAAATACCCTAAGAAAACAAAATAGGAAAGAGAAACAATAAAAGAAAATAAAATAAAAATAGAAAACAGAAAATAGAAGAAAAGAAAAATAAAAAAAATAAAAAATGCAAGGACACACCTGGCTTTGACAAATGTTGGGCCATGAGACACATGGCCAATTGATTACCATTGGGGATTTAACCCAGCCCGCAAAGCAACGGTCCAAGAGAACATTGGATTCCCCATGAGATGGTTTTAATGGCATGCCCGGCATGATAATTGGAAAATGGCGTGTGCAGGTTCCCATGTCTCAACCCCGAGGACGAAAAGTCACGATCAGTCTTCAATCTCAGTCAGTCAGAGCCAACGGCTCTCTACCTCTCCATTTGAAAACCACCCTCCTCAGAAAGGCACGGAACGCACATGATTTAGACAGATGGCACGCATCCGTGCAATGAACCTTCTTTGGATTCCCATTACACTTGCATCTCATCCACCCATTTTTATTTGAGATTATTTTGTGAGAAAACCTAGGCCTCTCTCTCAACCCAAACACACCTCCATATCAGAAATGGCTCTCCCATTTTTCTTTCATTTTCTCACAAAAAACGCAAAGAGCCTTCTGTCTCTTTAGAATATCAACCCCCTCATCTTTCTCAGCACGGTCACACCAGCGCTCATTATTACAACCCTTACATCTCACAGCAGTTTCTTGATCCTCTCTAAGTGCTGCATCCGTAGCTTTCCATAACCCAGCAACAAACACTCCCCCGTGAGTACCCATCCATGGTGGAGTAAGCATGAAAACCGAGATGAATGAAAGTAAATAGCTCCTCCATGTGTGTCTGTATTTATTTATTTTTTATTCTTTTTTCAGATTTATGTGGTAAACTAACACATGCATGTGGTTCCATCTGTGTGAAGACCCCCAATTGTTGCAAATCCGAGACAAACAACACAAGAAAAACACCCTGAGTCGCCAGCTCTTCTCAACCAAACCGTGTGTCGCATAAGTTCAAACCATCCCAGATTCGAGTTCCATTCAGGCAGATCGAGACCATTTCGCACATGCAACGGTAATCATCTCCCACTGGGTTCAATATACATGTTGCTCAGCTTGTAAAAAATCTCTGAGAGCTTCTATTTTTTTTTTTGATGATGAATCTCTGAAGAAGCTGACACTGATGTTTTTCTACATTAGGTACCCGAGATGCACAAAGAGACGGGAAAGACCCACTCGAATAGTCCCCAAACTCACGGATCTACAAATTTTGAGGTAAAAATCGTAACCCTTTTGATTGATCGACTGTGATCTGGTATTTTAACAATAAAACCAATACTGTGACTGAAAAAATTAGTACTCAAATCCAGGGTAGAGCCGAGAGAAAACAACCCTTTAGCTGCTGATCCAGTGGTCCCAGAAGTCAAAAATAGATAGCAAAGGCATCGGCCACGGCAAATGAGGAAGGTAAAGATCTCGTTCATCTGCTTTCGCTCAGCTTAACATTTACGGATTCAACTTCATTTCATTTGTGATGCCATATTTACCGTGTATACCCTCCCAAAATGACTTTGTAAGAACTAAAAACATACATACGCTGTGTGTAGGGATATGTGGATCCATGATAGCGCCGAGGGAAAAGGGAGGTAAACACATAAGCTCGCTGGACAAAACAGGAAAGGCCCTCAGGACCCAGATCTGTGCATCTGGGAGGTAAAATTCAAATCCCTGCAAGTTTAATTGTTGTAGATCTGGTAATAATAGCTGTACTCAGTTATGTGGTGTCTGGATATGTGATTTAACTGCGCTTCTCTCATCCATGCATCGCAAAACTGAGCTCTGTGAATAACTTCGTGCAGACTGCTTTAAATTTCCAGCATAGTGTAGATGTGGTGATGTTAATGTAGATTTGTTGCTGGGTGCATGATTCCAGTATAGGATGCTCTTTATTTTCCATGCGCTGCAACCTGCAATTAACCAATATGCGTGAAAAAAAAATGAAACTAACTAGGTAAATAAATAAAGCATTTTTTTTTTTTTTGGAATTTTTGTTTTTTTTAATTTTATTTTTAATTTTATTTTTTTTTATTAAATGAACTTAGGTATGTAAATGTATCTAGAAATTTAACTAATAAAAAAAAACTCAAACAAAAAGCAAAATAAGGAATGAGTTTAGAAAAATTGGGTTGCCTCCCAATAAGCGCTTTATTTTAAGTCTGTAGCTAGACGTCGCAGAAGCCTGGTGGTCAGATCACTGGTTCCTTCAGAGTCAAAGACTTGCTTGCACCAAATTTCCTTATGCATGGCTTTAGTAAATACTTCTTGACCTTGAGCACACAACCCCTGCCCTCTTTTTCAATATCCACGTTACCGTTATGAAAAACCTGCTTAACCATATAAGGGCCTTTCCACCGAGACTCTTGTCTCCCTGGAATCGACTTGAAATCTGAACTTAACAACCATACTTTGTTTCCAGGCTGTATTTTTTTATAACTTGGACTACCATGCAACTTTTTATTCTTGCTCTTGACATTTTGGTGTTTTTGGTCCATCTGGTTGCTCGGAACGGCCAAGCCCTTTTTTATTTTCCCTACAGCTGACACACAAACCCTAACCCTCAAGTCTTTTATTCCCACTAAGAAACTAAATAATAATAAAATAAAATAGAAAATAAATTCCTAATTAACCTCTGAAAAACTGCACAGAAACTGTTCAGCCACGTTTTAACCTCAAATCTCCTCCAAATCCGGCCCAAGATAGCTTGTTTTAAAGATAAGAACATTCTGAACACATCTCCAGAAGGCCACAAATCCATCCGAGGTCATCTTGGGCTCCAAAAACGCAATTTAAGCCCAACACGTCACTATTCCAGCACTGCGCATGGCTCCTTTATTTTATTGTCAGAAAATCATCGCTTGGTAGAAAAAACTGATATTTTGACAGGATGAAGCTAAGTGACTCACGAACGTCCTCCAATTGGAATTACTTCAAAATTCGTCCATTTGACCATGTTTTGCTCCAGAGGAAGTCGAAAATCCTATATTGGAAATATAATTCAAAGTATCAAAATTCTTTCAAATTATTAACCAAAATATACTAAGAATAAGGTAAAATATATAATATAAAATATACTCATCACCAGCTCTACACGCAAACTCAATAGGAAATATGGCTGAAGATCAGACTGAGGAAGAGATAGGGAGAGGTATACCAACAGGAATTGAAGAAGAGGACAGACCAGAGGGAAAAAAAGGAAGAAACATTAGTAGAAACGAAAAGAAAAGAAAAGAAGAAGAAGAAAAGAGGAAACAGGATATGGCAACCGACCCTAGCCGAAGCTAGGGCCGGTGCCACCGAAGGAACGAAGAAGGGAAAGGCTCACACAAATGGTGAGAAGGGCTCTCAGTCTAGAGAGAAAAGCTCTCACTTTTGGAGAGAAGGCAAAGTGTAACTAATTCTTAGTCTACCAATATTTTTCGTTTACAGTGTTGTAAGATGTCTCAAATTCGAATCTTATGACATCCACAATAAGAGAATAAAGAAAAAAACAAATGTGTAGAGAAATCTCTTGCAAAATAAGAAAATTGCAGCATTTATTTTTTCATGGGTAGCCCAAATTTTTTTCGTTGGTAAAAAATGAAAATGTAGCCCAATTTATTTGGTTATGTCTCAAATTTGAATCATAAATATTTGGTTATGTGTCTCTTGCAAAAGAATAATTAAAATTTGGAAGCACTGCCACTCATAAAAATGTCACATTTTGTGTCTCTATCAAATAATTCTCAACACTAGCTTGTGAAATACGTTGATGTGTCATGTCTGCCGCTGCGTAGCATTATCCAAACACGTGATTGGTATGTCCTCAATATATTGGTTTTGGACATTTTGGGAGAACATGTGATTCTCCTAGTTCAATAAACCAATCAATGACCTAACTTTAATTTTTAGCTGCAAAAATTTTATTAATATTAGTATTTCTACACATTTTCCACAGTCGACATGAACATACGATGCGTGACTCATTATTTTTTTTTTTTTCAAAATAGTTTTTGATGAAGAGTTTTATTTTAAGAGAATCTTCTTAATCGTTCTATTATTTTCATTTTACATTGTGTTGTTCTTTGATGTTTTTTGCTTTTAATTAGAGTATCTTCTCTAGGCTTTTGTAAGGTGTATTTTACCATGACCAATAATAATCATGTTTCCCACCACGTCAAAGTACCACACCAATAGTCAGAGCACACAATATATTATAACAATCTTGTAAATTGTAAACAACATACCAAATTCTTTTGTGCATTCCTGTATGTCAAATTATGTAGAAAACGTAAACTCAGATCACACAAACTGTAGGAAGATGAGATATTTACTAATATTTAACAAATAATATTGTATTTGAATAATACTCGGCTACTCAAATGATGAGTAGGAGTTCCTACTCAAATACTCAAAAGTGTTTGAGCCGATTCATAAAATTTCGTGTTTATAATCAGAATTGTTCATTTTATATATCACTCTATAAAGATCGCCAGGGCCGGTCTAGAGATTTATGAGGCCCGGGGCGACGCTAAAAAATGTGTCTCACTTCATATAAAAAAATTATTTGTTTTCACACGTAAGACATCGATAAAATTATATTTAGAAAAACACTTCAAATTCAATAATTTAGAAACACGGAATAACTAATTTATTTTGTATCTAGATAGGGAAACCAAAAAACTTCGGGCTTACAAGTAGATTGATTATGAGTTTTGTTTTTCATCTGAACTTTTAAAGTGTTTTTGTATAAATCGTGAGGTATTTTTTCTTATTTACTAACCTCGTCAATATAAGACTAAAAAAACTAATAATGTTTTTGAGTCTTTAAGGTTATGTATACATAATGAATGAACACTAAATTAAACCTTTTGATGACACGTAATATTATTTGCAAATTTGGTCTAAAAGTTTAGTCTACACATTACTCTTTGTTGAAGATTAGACTTGAATTGGAACGGATACTTGAAAATAGCAACCCACATAACTACTAGCTAGTAAATAAATTAACAACCAAACAAAAATTTGTAAAAATTGAAAAAAAAAAAAACTTGCACATAGCATTTCGAACTTAGGACCTCTCGTTAATTTTAAACAACAAAAACCATTGCTTCTAATTAAACTTCTTGATCATTTAGCCAAATTTTATAAATTTATACTATTATGAAAAGAGATTTGTAAAAAATGGAATGTAAATAAGTACACATGGTGTTTTGAAATTAAGACCTCCTCATTAATTTTAAACAACAAAACCACCAATTCTAGTTAAATTTTTTTGTCACTAAACCAAATTTCATAAATTTATACTTTTATAAAAACATATATAAATATATCACCATAATAATTTTGGTGCCCCCAATTTTTTGGGGCCCTGGATGGTCGCCCTACCCGCATTGGACTTGGGCCGGGCCTGAAGATCGCCTCTGCAAAAAAATCAATTAACATTAAGGTCTTTTATTATCGAACTGTATGCAAACAAATGAATAGAATTGATAAAAGCATTACGAACCATCTATGTATTTACTACAATATATGGACACAATGACCTTAGTTTTAATTCATTTTTAACAGAGGTAATCTTTATTGAGTGATTCATAATATAAATGATTCTACCATAAGTACAAAGTTCTGTGAGTGGAACACGAAGAATTTTGAGTACGAGTTCCTACTTCTCTTTAAATAGCAAAGCATTGCTCATGGTATATATTTAGCATAAACATATACCACAACATAAAGTTACACCTTAATCCAAGTGATAAGATTAATATTTTAAAATATAAGGCTACCAACCTTATTGTTTTCTTTTTAATTTGAACCATCTCTTCATAATTGTTTCCTGTACAAAGTTGTGGATGATACTACAATAAATAAACCCAAATGTGCATTATAAAAAAAGCTAAAAGAAAATCACACAAAAGAAATCAATTGGAAATTTGGAATCAAGCAAACATTGCTGGAGTTTTAAAAAAAAAAAAAAAAACCTCAACTGTGCAGTATAATTGAAATTAACCTCAAACTACGTAGCAAACTGTTAGATAAGCTAAGTGGAGGAAATTAAAGAATGCCAAAACCACAGTAATTCATTTGACATTGACATTTTGACGAATATGTTATAAGCAAAAACAATTCATCTATAATAACACTTAGTATACGAGGTTGTGTTGCTGAAAAGTTTCTATGTATGCGACATGTTTCTTTTTCATGTGTAACCGATAAAGGTGACAATTGATTAATACATGCCTTGTTTTTTTATTAGTAACCTATTACCTATGCATGGATGACTTTATTTGGAGTTGATCATAGATGTAAGAACATGAAGTGTTGATTACGAAAAGAATAATGTATATAATTTTGTAAAAGCTTTTTGATGCGTTAGGGTTACGACACTAAATATGTATACAATCAGCTTCTTTAAAGAGAGGATCTTTTTGCAAAAAAAAAAATGAGATTCAGTAGCTTGGTAATGAGATCGTGCGTTTGACATTTGACATGACTTATTTTATTCTTTTCTTTTCCTGGAACGGAACTTCCACGGAGAAATAACTGTTTCACGAACAAGGAAGACATAAACCAATCGAATTTCGATCTCAAACTCCAGAAGAATCGAAGATCCTCGCATTTTGTCTTTGCAAATTCAGATATATGGGGATCCTCCACCTTATCATTTTGGGCAATTTGAAAATTCAGATATCGCTTTGTCTTTGAACCCAACCTACAAATTGTGCGAATTTTCTTGCTTTTGCGACGTGGTTGATCGAAAGCTCTGGTTGGAACCGACGTCCATCTTCTCCATCATGAGGGCAAACAGATTTCTGATTAGGTTATAAGGCATGCTTCCATCCTAGCCACACGATCTCATGGAAACAAATCCGATGGCTGATCATCGTGTGAAAGTTAAGTATAGTGATTTACGTAGAATTATTGTTAGGTATGATACTTGTCAATTGTCAATGCATGCACATTCAAGGACGGAACCAGAAATTTCTTCTAGTGGGGGCAACCGAAAACAACTAAGAAAATCTTATTATAGTATGGTTATACGCAATATGATATTAAGGATGATTTCAAATGATGATGTATCACAATTCCAATGTTACAAAAATTTCAATATAGAAGTGGAAAGTGGCAAAGTGATGAGAAAAACATAAGTACATGATAGGCGGGAGAGGGTTTTTTCGGTTTGAATGACAGAACAAAAGCACTATTGCTCATATAATATTTGATGTGGAATTTAAGTAGAATAAATGTATGTTAGATATTAGATACATATATTTTTTTCAAAGATAACCGGTGTATATTATATAATTGTAATCTACAACTAAACAAACGAATTACTTGAGTGGGGGCATCTGCCCCCAGTGAGCCTTCATTGGCTCCGTCCATGTGCACATTATAGTAATAATATTGCATATATGATAGATAGTCGGTCATTAATACAAAATTAATCGAATTTTAAATGCTTTGACTTGTTCGTATTTTGTAGTTACTCGATTACTTCGTTGTTTACGCTCCCTGTCGAGGCTACACAAGGTCAAGTCATGTTAAAGATTTCTTTGACATTATATAGTTAGCAGTGGAAGAAACATTCAAGCGTAACATCTCGAGTGCAAAAATAAATGTACTTAATTATAATTAATGTGTAGTAGAGCCTAGTACAATTCAATTTGGATAGTGCTATTTACAATTGTATTTCTCACACATTTTCTCTCGATTTTCGGTTATCGGAACGAATGAGTTGAAGAAGATTAATGGTAAAGAGTTAACAAAAATATGTGAGAGGTAAAAATAAGTATGGGAATAACACTTTTCTTCGATTTAAGATGCTAAAACAGATGGAAAAGGTTGCCAATTGCATGTTAATTTATTATGATTTTATGTATATTTTATGGATGATTTTAGGGGATGTTGTTTGCATATAGTAATGGTTTAGGAATAACGAAAGATTAAACAAAATCATGCATCTTTTAAACTTGGCTTGTTTCTAAAGATTGGACCTGTAAAGCAGATAACAATCTCACCTAAACTTGATCTACATGTTTTATCTTTTGACTAACCTATTGCCCAAAAAACAAATATCTACTTTTTGTTCCATAGATTTAAGATGGTGGGTTTTGGACTACAATTACTAGTAATTCTTAGTCTGCCAATATTTTTCATTCACAGTGTTATAAATGTCTCAAATTTGAATCATATGACATCCACAATATAGGAGAATATAAAAAAAATAAAAATGTGCAGAGAAATCTCTTGCAAAAGAAAAAAGCGGCAGCGTTTATTTTTTCCTGGGTAGCCCAAATAATTGGTGTGGACTGGCCCAAGCCCAGTCTCAGTGTATGCATTTGTCGACATTTGATCCGGTTTCGTAGAAGAATTAATTGGGCCGCCCACTTTTGGGCCGTGTACTAGGTGTGGTAAAGTGGCAATTCATTTTAACTGAGCACAATTTTTTTTTTTTTTGATAAAAATAATAGTAGGGAAAAAAAAAATAAATAAATAAAACAAACAAACCCCAAACTTAAGACATCGAATGCATAAATAAATGACAGCTTTTAAATATCTACTCAACTGCTAAGGATCAACTGGCATTTTTAAGTAGTTTGTAAACTATCGTAGCTCAACATATGATGATGTATTTTACTAATTATATTTTGACTGATAAATAGGTGTGAAGTGTTTTTTTGCCATTTGGAGCTTCGCATAGGATTATGTATTCCATTACTGTTTAGTATTGGATAGGAATCAACAATTAATCACATATACATATATATATATATATATATATATATATTATAAACGACTTTGTATTTAAGTGTGATTCTTTAAATCCTAAATTAGATTTGATTATAGTTATTCTTTCATATTATGACCTGTATTCTTTGGAAGAGAAGGATTATTCCCTCCCTTAATACTATAAATAAAAGCACTATGTAAGGGGAATAACAACATCCTTTACACAACCCTGCAAACACATCTCTCTCTCTGTCAGATAAAATAAGCCACAATACGTTATCAGCATTCTCCTACCGTTGCGCTTAAGAATCTAATGTGGAAGCTTTCTACATCAAACCAATTAATCAATATCATCACGCAATCAGGTTCTTCCAAAACAACGGTTTTTATCTTGATATTTTACAACTCTGATAGCATGAGCATTCACCATAATGCATGACCCCACTTTACATTTTTCAAATTTTAGATTCTACATAAATTGTGTATGCATTATATCCATAATTGTTAAATTATGTGAATTGATATCGCCATGAATTGCATCAAACATCTGCTATATGTTAAATATGTATTGAATTATATTCTTGAAATTGAAAAAAATAGAAAAAAAATATATTAGGGTTTCGTTGGGAACTCTGAGTACGATGGCTGAAAGTTAAGTCGTTTGGCTCCCTATGCTGAGCCGAGTTAACCAAGCCACGGAGCCAAAAGCTCCAGGCTTTGTAACCCAGAAAAACCCGATGCCATTAATGGCATCCTTATCCACGACCACCACGGGCATGGCCTGCAGCCACCGCCCCGAGCCTCTGGTCACTGTCACCGACGACCAGAAATCGTTCTCGATGAAAATTGGACCGAGATTCACTTGAATCTCATCGAAATTTCTTGAAAATCCGATTTGAGATTTCTAGGGTTTGGTTCTTGAACGCCGAGATTAACCTTCTCCATTCACCACCATGGTCGTCGTTGACCCTCGTGACTCGCCCTGAGTTCTCTGAACCTAGACAAAGCCGCCAAAAACAACGGCACCGGTTCTTTTCTCCAATGCGCACACCCAGCACAACTGGGGTTTGTGTTTGGTCTGACCCACGACCATTTAGGCATGGACTCTTCTCGGCTTGCAACAATAATTAATTTTATTTATTTATTTGGGCATGCGAACCTAGGCCTGTTGCTGATCACCCTAAGCCCATGTAACACCAGCCTGTTGGGCTTTGGTGTTCCCCCTACACCCACATTGTACCGGATCCCAGCCCAACGCTGGTGCATCCATGTCCTAGCATGCACTCGATCCTAGCTTGCAGCTAGTGCATCAGTGCACTCGCATCGCGTCACACTAGATCATATCCTGTCTGGGCCCCTATTTTTGGGCTTGCATTCATAGCCTACTTCGCTGTGACGATTGATCCTGCTCACATGCAAGGCATGTGCCTACCCCAACCCAATTTTTGGGCCTAGACCTCATGACACCAATTTTCTCAGCCCACCCGTGGACTTTGGTCTATATTTTTGGGCCCCGAGTTTAATTGCTTTTTTTTTTTTATTAGGCCTTATGGGTTTTATAATTTTTCACCCACACTATAATTTTGGCCCAAGGTCCAAATAATTAATTCAATCATAATTCTAGACCTGAAAATCTATTTGCATATTTCTTGTTGCATATTTTCTTATATATATTTGCGCTTGTCTGCAGGAACATATGAACTTGAAGTTCATAATTCTTTCGAAACTTGAAGTTTCTAAAACATGCCTTGTTTGAAAACCTGAAGTTTTCCTAAAAAAATCACCCATGAAAACTCGAAGTTTTTTCATGTAAATTTAAACTAATACATGTCAATTAGAACCTGAATGTTTTACTTCTACGTGAATGGATTGATTTTTTCTCCATTACACTAACCACATCCTTGTCAATTTATTTTATGATAGGAGCATGTCAAATTTGAACAAACTTAACTTCACCGCTTTAAAGGTCTCTAGAAGAAACTACCTCAAGTGGGTCCAAGATGTGAAGCTCCACCTCACCGCAAAGAACATCTTTTTTCCTGAAGCAAGACATGACTGGCAACATCTGCGCTTCCAAGACTTTAAGTTTGTGAATGAATATAATTCTGAAATCTGTTGAATTTGATCACTTCTCAAGTTCTATAACAAGAACTTGACTGAATAGGATCTTCTGGAGAAAACCTATTTGACCTTCTCTGCTACCAATGTTGTCCTACAACAACAATATATGTCTCAGAAGTTCACTAAGTTTTTGGATTTGATCTCTATTTTACTTCTCGCTAAAAAGCAGAATTAGCTGTTGATGAAAAATCATTAAGCTCAACCTACTAGGTCCACTGTTATGCTTGAAGCACATTATAGCACAAATCAACATCCAAAATACCAACATAGGCATGGTAAGGGCGGCCAGAAGTCACCTCGTCAAGGTCAACAGAGCCAAGGCCCATCTAAGTGAGGAAACCGAGCCCAAAAGCGCTCTAACCTAGCTTCTAAGGCCCCAAACCTCAAGTAAAAGGGCAAAGCACCTGACACCATGGATGTGGACATGTGTTACCGATGTGGTTCAAATGACCATTGGTACCATGTTTGACATGCTTCCTAGAAGGTTGTAGCTGAATATCATTCTCGTCGTAAGAAATTTGAATCAAACTTTATGCAAATGGATGAACCGGAGAGTACCAAGATGGAGGTTTTTGACTTTCAAGAGGTTATGACCCTTATGGAAGATTAGAATCTTAGACATGAACTATTTTTAGTTGAATTTTGGAACAATGGGGTGAATTTCACATAGTGGTTGACCCTCCTTGTTTTTTGTTTAAGTTTGGACAATTTTCCTTTATGTTTGGATTATTTGTTGGTGATTTGTTTTTGGATATTAAGTTTTTTTTAATTACCATCCTTGAATACTTAAATTAATTTGCATGGATATCTGTTTTAAGAACTTTTATACATATAACCGATTCAAATTAATTTTTATTTCTAGGTATGACTAATGGGAAAGTTAGTTGTCTGGTAGATAGTGCAACCACGCACACCATTTTGCGTCAATGCATCTATTTCACTAACTTTGTACCTAAGAATGCACATCTGACAACCCTCTCAGGCCCATCCAACATGATCGAAGGATACAGTAAGGTACATATAATTTGTCTAATGGTACAATCTTGTCCATTGATGAGGCACTTTATTCTCTTCGTTCCGGAAAAACGTTGTTGAGTTTTAAGGATATTAGAGATAATAATTACTACGCTGAAACCTATGTAGAAAACGAAGTTGAATTTCTGTGCATCACTTCTTACGAATATGGCCATAACTGTATTATATAGAAGATGGAGCGTATCCCAAGCGGTTTGTATACTACAACTATACACCCTATAGAAAGCCACTATGTGGCCGGCCCTACCTGAGGGACCGCACATGAAATTACATTTTGGCATGATCGTTTAAGACACCTTAGACGAACAGCAATGCGCCGTATCCTTAAATCATCACACGGGCATCCACTAACCCGAAGTTTAAGTTCGATCCAAGGAATCACATGTCAAACCTGCTCCATAAGAAAGCTTATTATTAGGCCTTCTTATGACAAGATTTGTTTGAATCCTTCTATTTTTCTACAAAGAATTCAATGGGACATTTGTAGACCGATTCACCATCCCAGCGAACCATTTGGATATTTTATGGTTTTGGTTGATGCTTCCACACATTTGCTTGTTGTCCATAAGGAACGTTGTATTCTCCAAACTGTTGGCTCAGATTATAAAGCTCAGGCCCCACCACTCTAATGATCCGATCAAATCTATTCGATTGGATAATGCTGGAGAATTCACATCTAAAACTTTTAATGACTATTGCATGTTGGTTGGGGTTAAAGTTGAATATTTAGTACCCCATGTTCAAACCCAAAATAGCCTAGCATAAGCATTCATTAAACGCTTACAAATGATTGCTCAATCATTGGTCATACATACCAAGCTCCCGATTGCTGTTTAGAGCCATGCAATATTGCACGCAGCCATGTTGGTTCGCCCGAGGCCTGTTGCAACCCAACTACATATCGCCCTTTAGTTGGTTACTGGATATTAATCTGACATATCGCATCTGAGCGTTTTTTGTTGTGCGGTCTATGTGACGATTTCGTCACCCTTACGTACAAAAATGAGCCTCGGTAAAGGATGAGAATCTATGTCAGATATGATTCTCCTTCAATTATTCGTTACTTAGAACCTTTGACAAACGATCTGTTTACCGCTCGTTTCGCGGATTGTCATTTCTATGAGACAGTCTTCCCGTTATTAAGGGGAGATAAAAACGTCACCATTCCTAAAGAACGATGCGAATTATCATGAACGACTCCTACTTTGTCTCATTTAGATCCTCACATCGCTCAGTCTGAAATTAAAGTGCAGCATATATTAAATGTCCAAAGCATAGCTCAGAGCATGCCAAATGCTTTCACGGATCTAGCGCGAGTGACCAAATCACATATTCCAGCTGCAAATGTGCCAACAAAGATGGATGTACCAAATGTACAATGTACTTCCCTCCTGAAAGCCCGAGAAGCCACCTTGGCGAATCCACGTATATTAGCAGCTAGTCAATCTTCTACCCCCTACACAAAAGTGTGGCAAACCACTTAGATTCACACCCCCGGAAGAGGAAACCCACGACACAAGTTCCTTTTGAGCTTACCGTGAATCCAACTATCGCCTACTCATTTTATTCAACTCATGAGGAAATTCTAGATTACAGAAGCGTCCTTAAAGAGACAAATCTACCTCCCGAGAATTGCAAGATTTTGGTCCATTATGCTAGCTTGGATGATGTTTGGTGTAAAAATGAGATGATCATCGACAATGCATTAGCATATGCAATAGCTATTAAGATTGTGTTGAGTAATGACATTGAATCCCATTTCGTTGAAGAATGTCGACGTAAAACTGATTAGTCAAACTGGAAATAAGCAATCTAAGTCAAACTCGATTCGCTTGTGAAACGTAAAGTGTTTAGACCTGTAGCTCCTACTCCTCCACATGTGAAGCCAGTTGGCTACAAGTAGGTTTTCGTTCGAAAGCGTAATAAGTAGAACGAAATTATGCTTTACAAAGCTCATCTTGTTGTGCAAGGCTTCTCACAACGCCCCGGGATTGACTATGACGAAATTTATACACCTTTTATGGATGTGATTACTTTTCGCTACCTTATCAGTTCGGTAGTTTCAGAAAAATTAAGTATGCAGCTGATGGACGTAGTAACTGTGTATCTCGATGAGGATTTTGATACGGAAATTTATACAAAAGTTCTCGAAGTACTTGCACAAATATTTCCAAACCACGAAACACGCTCCCAATTCGGCTAAGGCGTTCACTTTACGTTTTGAAACAATCCGGAAAAATGTGGTATAACCATCTGAGTGAATATTTGACTAGTCAGGGATATATGAACAACAAACTATGCCCTTGCGTGTTCATTAAGAAGTCACATTCTAGTTTTGTGATTGTTGCAGTTTATGTCAACGACATGAACCTCATCAGAACTCCTGAAGAGCTCGAGAAAAATGCCACACACCTGAAGTTAGAATTTGAGATAAAGGATCTAGAAAAGACTCTATATTGTCTTGATCTCGAGATAGAGCACCGTTCAAATAGAATCTTAGTACATCAATTGAACTACACCCATAAAGTGTTGCGCCGCTTTAACAAGGATAAAGCAAAGTCTTCGTGTATTCCTATGGTCGTTTAATCGCTAGATGCAAAATGAGATTCCTTTCTTCCAAATGAGGCTGATGAAGAGATTTTGGAGCCTGAAGTTCCTTATTTAAGTGCAATAGGCGCTTTATTGTACTTAGCTTAATGCATTATACCCGACATCTCCTTCGTTGTTAATCTTTTGGTGGGCTTGTTTTATCCCTACGGATCCTCGAGTAATGCTGCACCCTCTTATCTTGAGTCGATTATCGCCTTGTTGGTTATGTCCATGCATGTTGCTTATTTGACCAGCATAAGGCGCATTATTAAATGAGTTATGTCTTTATTGTTAGAGGCATCGCAATCTCTTGGAGGTCAACTAAACAGACCTTAGTTGCCATTTCGTTTAACCATGCTGAAATTCTTGTCTTACACAAAGTAACTCGGGAATGCTTCTGGCTGAAAGCAGTTGTGGGCCATATTTGACGCTCCTACGATCTTTACCCTGTCGTTGATGTCTCGACGACGATCTATGAAAACAATGTAGCATGCATCGAATAGCTTAAGAAATGTTACATTATAGGAGACAAAACCAAGCACATTACGCCGAAGTTCTTCTTTTCACATCAACAACAAGATCATCAGAAGATTGAAGTCACACAAATCCATTCACAAGACAATATGGCTGACCTCTTAACCAAATCACTACCAAAGGTGACGTTTCAGAAGCTTGTTTAAGGAATAGGTATATGTAAACTTTTTGAGTTGTAACATTGTTATTTTTCTTTGGAATTATGTCAAACTCAGGGGAGTATCCTAAAGTATATTTGCTTGATCTTAATGTATTCTTTTTCCTTACGATTAGGAACATTTTTCCCACTAAGTTTTTGCTACCTAACGAGGTTTTGACGAGGCACCCACCTTAGGTTGATCATATCCCTGATGACATCTTGTAGACATTTCATTTGACTTTGCATTTTCTCACGCATTTTTCTTTAGACTATGGGTTTTGTTCCTGCTTGGGTTTTACCATAGCCATTGGGTCTATTGTGAGATTTAGTTCCATATACAAGTTCCTACTTTACTTTGAGACTAGCGTGTTCCCAGAATCAGTGCCGACGAGTAGACTTCCTGAACTCTAAATGATACTGAATCTACTTGAGTATTTACATACTCAAGGGGGAGTGTTATAAACTTCGTATTTAAGTGTGATTGTGTAAATCCTAGATTAGATTTTATACTAGTTATTCTTCCCTATTAGGACTTGTATTTCTTGGAAGAGAATGATTCTTCCTTCCTTTATTACTATAAATAAAGACACTACGTAGGGGGAATAACATCTTCTACAAACATATCTCTTCCTGTCAAATAAAATAAGCCACAACAATATATATATTGATATATTGTAGGAATAAAACAAGATTTATATATACAATTATTGCTAATGTCACATCCCGGCCCGGGGCGGATCACTTCCCGGGCCCACTCCACCGTAGCACGACATTGTCCGTTTTGGGCCCCGACCACGCCCTCACGGTTTTGTTTCTGGGAACTCACACGAGAACTTCCCAATGGGTCACCCATCCTGGGAATGCTCTCGCGCGCTACTCGCTTAACTTCGGAGTTCCCATGGAACCCAAAGCCAGTGAGCTCCCAAAAGGCCTCATGCTAGGTAAGGATGGGAATATACATATAAAGATCACTCCCTGGGCGATGTGGGATCTTACAATCCACCCCCCTTAGAGGCCCGACGTCCTCATCGGCACACCACGGCCAGGGTTAGGCTCTGATACCAAATTGTCACATCCCGGCCCGGGGCGGATCACTTCCCGGGCCCGCTCCACCGTAGCACGATATTGTCCGCTTTGGGCCCCGACCACGCCCTCACGGTTTTGTTTCTGGGAACTCACACGAGAACTTCCTGATGGGTCACCCATCCTGGGAATGCTCTCGCGCGCTACTCGCTTAACTTCGGAGTTCCTATGGAACCCGAAGCCAGTGAGCTCCCAAAAGGCCTTATGCTAGGTAAGGATGGGAATATATATATAAGGATCACTCCCCTGGGCGATGTGGGATCTTACAGCTAATAAACAAATAATTGCAACTATGTATATTGACAAAATTCGAATAAACATGACTAATATTTAAATAGATGAAATGAAGATTGAGGCTTGCTTACCGTAATATCCTTGAAATAGAAATTAGCCTCTACTTTGTGCTTGTAGTTCTGTAGGCATCTACTTCATCAGGATTCAATGAATAAAGTCAAGGTCCGAAAGGATGAGTCTAATGAAATAGGAAGATAAACTAAATAAGAAATTATTTAATAAATTAAAAATATATTTAATAAATTAATTATGAATTTAAATCCCATCATATGACAATTAATATATATATCTCTGCTAATTAATAAAACACTCTTTGTCAACTAAAACTCTATGAAATTACCAGTTTAACTCTCTAATTAAAAGAGAACATGAATAAGAAATATTGGGCAGAAATGCAATTTCACACAACCAAATTTTTCTGTTTTTTTTAAGTCTCACCTATATGTAATCATAACATATATCTAATTAAAAATTAAAAAATAAAATAAAAATAAAAATAAAAAAAACTTCCAACTCCCACGTTCTCTATCACTCTCTTCCCCTCTCTTTCTATTTCAAAAACAAAAATAAAAAATTTTCTCACACTTTGTGTGTGCACATATGCTAGTATATATAATTATAACATCCCAAACCCAGGTTCAAGCCAGTTTTGCTCTCCATAGTCCATATTTCCAATCTTTTTTTTTAAGAAGGACAAGGTGTTACAAAGTGGGCGAAACTTTTGGTTGTGAACAACATGGGACAATGAGATAAAATGAGATTTCTACTTAAAAAAAAACTCCAACATTTAGTCTAGTAAAGCATTAGATAGTTTGTATGACGTCACTTGCTGAAATATCTTTGGTTGAGGTATAAATGATATGGGTGGAGTGATAACAGTACATGACAGTGTGGTCGGTACACTACATTTACTCGTGGTAGGGAGTTATGGGAGACAGTTTCATTTTCTTGACATATATTGTACAAAACATTTTTCATTTGTAAGGTAACAAGTGGCAACAGGGAATCCATTGAAGGACCTCAATTTTGCTCTCCATAGTCTATCTCAAAGCCCAAACCGAGGCTCAAGCCCATTTTGCTCTCCATGGTCCATCTTTCCAATCGTCTTTTAAGAAGGACAAGGTGTTACAAAGTGGGAGAAACTTTTGATGGTGAGCAATGTGGGAAAATGAGATAGAATGATATTTCTACTAAAAAACCCCAACATTTAGTCTGGTAAAGTTTTCTACTATCTGATGTTCTATCACTTGAGCTCAAAATGCTGCTGTTTGAAAACGGTGAACTGTCAAAATGGGAAGAACATGCAAACGGAGCGCGTCATGAAAAGCAAGAAGTTTGTATGAAGTCACTTGCTGACATATATTTGATTTAGATACAAATAATATTGGTGGAATGATAACAATACGTAACACTGTGGTGGGTACACTACATTTACTTGTGGCAGGGAACTATGGGAGAATATTTCATTTTAATAACATATATTGTACAAAACGTTTTTTATTTGTAGGGTAACAAGTGGCAACGGGATCCATTGAAGGGAACCGGATCCCCTCCGGACCCAAAGGAACTGAGCCCATGGATCAACTGATCCGGGCCATTGAAATTTGATCAAACGGCTACAATTATTATAACTTTTAGAGGGGCCCCTGTTTGTAGCCGTTGAATCAAATTTCAATGGCTTGAATCATTTGATGAGTGAATTCAGTTCTTTTGGGTCCGGAGGGGATCCGGTTCCCATTGAAGGACCTCAACTAAAAGTTGTACTATTCTCTCGACAAGAAATGGTTTTGTTTTCTGGAATTATGAAAACGTGTTCAAACTACTATCAATCAATCCAAGTCCCTTGAGCAATTTAAACATCGTATATTTTACCGAGTAATGCTTTCTTATCAAATTTACATGTAAAGATAGTGCATATAAGAATAACGAATGGTATGGTATATTTTAGCAACTATCCACCGCAAACCAACGAAATTTAGAGTCTTGTAATATGTCCATGTTATACGTCGTGCAGTCTGATAAAAAAATATTTTCCTTAATTTATCGTAAATCATAGCCGGCAGTGGTATTAATTTATACCAGGAAAATGATCTACTGCGTATCCTCTAAGATTATAGCCGACCGGTGCATTATTAAGAATACACATCTGCATGACAACAAGAAGGCAAGTTGCAGCCTTGGAGGTTGATGTTCTCAGCAAAACTACTGCAAGTTGTTGTCGGCGTCCCAATATTCAGTGATGGTCGTCGATTTTCATTACCCTACCGTATTAATCAAATTTTAAACGGTAGGATGAGGAGGATCACAGCTAATATGTGTGATCTCACACTCCAACCAAAAAAAAAAAAAAAAAAAAATGGAAAAGTTTAGCAATGTCTCGTTAACTTCTGCAATTGTTCTACATTCACAATGAATATTTAGGTTGGTTTTCACCTCCACTCAACAATTCGCCTTCGGCCGTCAAATGCGTTAGAATTTCGATTAAATTTAGGGTAAATTACATTTTACCTTCTCAGATTTCGGTGCAATTACAACCTCATACAACATCTTTAAAACATTTCAATCTTATACATTTAGTATTATTTTATTTCAATTTCATACAACCGTTACAAAATCTGTTAAGTTAACCATTAAGTGATGACGTGGCAAATATGAGTTCTCCATTTGTGCTAATGTGGTTAC